CCCGCCCAGGTTTCCAACCCTGTCAGTCCCCGCGGCCCCAGCTGCGTCTTCCTGCCTAAATCCTGGAGCTGCTGTGTCCTAAGGCCCCAGGCCCAGCGGGACGCCCCTGCTGGCTCCTGTCCAGGGCCCGTGCCAGGTGGTCAGAGGCCCGGGTCATCAGCGCCGCCTGGGAGGTGCTGTAACCTCTCAGAGCCTGACAAGGGTGTGCCCCAGGCTCACCCTCAAAGCTTGGAGCGCCCACCACCCCCCTCGCTGCTCGGGAGTGGACTCGGCTTTTCCACCTGTGCGCCCCACGTGCAGGTCCGAGACCGAGATGGGGTGGGAGCCCTTCGTCCAGCTGGAGCCGCCATCACCTCTGTTTGAGGATGGACCTGCCCAGTGACATTCAGGGCTTTATCCTAAAGCTATGACCTTCCCCGGGGCCCACCCTTGTGTCCGGGGCCACGCGGGGAAGTAAGCACACGGCCGGGTTTTCCAGGCGCACGACCGGGAGGGTGACTGATGTAGAGGCCAAGGCGCTGGGCTCAGACAGCTCATTAATGAGAACGCCAGGCTCCGCTCGATACACGTAAAGCGCCCTGGGCACTGGGCGGCTGGCTCAGAAAGTGCAAATCGGAGAGGTTAGTGGGAGTCGGGGTGCCCCAGGTTCCCCGTTGACAAGTTGGTGTCCGGCTTGGGGAGCAGCCCTGCGGGGTCCTGCCCACCTCTGTGCCCTCAGGGCACCGAGGCAAGCGCTGCAAATGTCTTCTGAACCACGACCTGCTCCCCGTTGGGAGCACCAGGCAGGTCCTCACCTCCGGTCCGCGTGGCGATGGAAGCTCACCACTTCTTGCTGGGCGGGGACTCAGAGGGACGTGAGCCAGGTGGGGGTGGTGCAAGGCCCCGGGTCCCCTCACGCCCGGTGTGAGCCGCGCCGAGACTGACAGCAGAGAGCATCAAGGGCGTCCGCTGAGTCTGGTGTGTTCTCCTGACCTTTCCTTCTGTTCCTCAGCAGTAGAGGTAACCTGGGGAGGGGACTTGGGCTGGCTGGGGGCTCGGGGGCAAAGGTGAGACGTGGCCAGACGGGGACAGCTGGGGAGGTCTGCACGCTCTCTGGCTTCCGCTCTGGACGCCCCTGCACACGGAGCCCCAACACCGGGGTCCTCACTCACTGTCCACACCCAGCCAGCCACACTCTGGGATTAATTAATAAGTCTTTTTAAAAAATTAGCTTTGCTGGGCTTCCCTGGTGGCGCAGTGGTTGAGAGTCCGCCCGCCGATGCAGGGGACACGGGTTCGTGCCCCAGTCCGGGAAGATCCCACATGCCGCGGAGCGGCTGGGCCCGTGAGCCGTGGCCGCTGAGCCTGCGCGTCCGGAGCCTGTGCTCCGCAACGGGAGAGGCCGCAGCAGTGAGAGGCCCGCGAACCGCAAAAACAAAACTAAACAAAAGCTTTGCTGATATATGATCCACACGCTGTACAATTTGCCCAGTTTGAGGGTATGATTCAGCGGGTTTTCATATGTTCGCAGGTTGTGCCGCCATCACCACTGTCTGATTTTAGAGCATTCCCACCTCGCCAAAGAGACCCAGTGCCTTCAGCAATCACTGCCCGGCCCCATCTCTCCCCACCAGCCCCGAGCAACCACGGATCAACTTTGTCTTTATAGATTTCCTTGTTCTGGATCCGTGAGAACAGAACCACCCAGCACGTGTCTTGTGTAACTGGATCCTTTCACTCTGAACTATCTTCAGGGTTCGTCTGTGTTGTAACAGGAATGAGCGCTTCATTCCTTTCCGTGGCCCAATAATGTCCCATTGTATGGCGCTACCAGGTTTTGTTGATCCGTTAATCATCGGATGGACATTTGGGTTGTTTCCACTTTTTGTGAGTCATGCGGCCACGAACATCCGTGTGCAGTTTCTTTGTGCATGTGCATATTGACTTCTCTGGGCTCACAGCTAGGAGTGGAATTGCAGGGTCATGTGAGGAACTGTATGAGGAACAGCCAGGCTCTTGTCCAAAGTGACTGGACGGTTGCATGTTCCCATCAGCAGTGCACGAGGCCCTGATTTCTCCAACACTTGTCGTCTGCTCTTTCATTCTGGCCGTGCTGGTGGGTGTGAAGTGGGACCTTCGAGTGGGTTTGATCTGCACTTCCCTGATGATTAACAGTGTTGAGCCCCGTTTCATGCGCTTCTTGGCCACTTGTGTATCTTCTTCAGAGAAAGGTCTATTCAGATCCCTTGCCAATTTTTTTAATTGGGTTGTCTTTTTTGTGGTTGAGTGGTAGGAATTCTTTCTGTATTCTAGATACAAGTCCCTATCGTATATGATTTGTAAATATATTCTCCCATTCTACGGATTGTCTTTAAAGACCTCATCTCCTAAAAGTCACCTTCTGAGGTACTAACAGTCAGGGCTTGAACAGAAGGGTTTTGAAGGGGAGCATTTCAGGCCATAACAGTGTCCTTTGAAGCGATTACGTTTTAAATTTGATTAAGTTTAATTCATCTTTTTTATCTTGTTTGCTCCTGCTTTTGGTATCACATCTAAGAAGACTCTGGGGTCACTGGTTTTCAGCCTGAAGACCTTCCTTTCGAGTTCTTGTAAGGCAGCTCTCAGTCTTGTTTATCTGGGCAAGTCTTTATGTCACCCTCATTTTTTAATGACAGCGTTGCTGGATGTAGGATTCTCGGGTGTCTTCTGAGCACTTTGAACACACTGCCCACTGCTTTCTGCTGAGATGTAGGCGTAATCTCACCAGAGTGAGCTCTCAGGTGACCTATCGCTGTCTCTGCTGCTTCCAAGGTTTCCTCCTTGTCTTTGGCGGTCAGCATTTTTCCTGTGATGTCTTTTCCCTGCTGGAGCTCAGTGAACTTCCTGGGTGTGTAGGTCCTTGTTTTTCAATAGATTTGGAAGTTTTCAGCCACGGTTTCTCAAACACTCTTCTCCTCCTCTCCTCTCCCCTTCCTGCTGGTACCTGGATTCCTTGGTTCCAGCACGATCCTTGCGTCCCTCTGTTTTCAGCCTGCGTAATCGTCACCAATCGATCTTCAAGTTCACCAAACCTTTTCTCTGACAGTTTACATCCACTGCTGAGCTCCTATAGTGAATTTTTTGTTATTGTACTTTTCAACTTCAAAATTTCCACTTGGTTCTTTTTAAATTTTTCTTTATTGATATTCTCCATCTGATGGAATGGATTGTCATCATACCTTCCACTACTTCTTCTTTTTTTTTTTTTTTTTTTTTGGCAGTGTGCGGGCCTCTCACTGTTGTGGTCTCTCCCATTGCGGAGCACAGGCTCCGGACGCGCAGGCTCAGTGGCCATGGCTCACGGGCCCAGCCGCTCCGCGGCATGTGGGATCTTCCAAGGCCGGGGCACAAACCCGTGTCCCCTGCATCGGCAGGTGGACTCTCAACCACTGCGCCACCAGGGAAGCCCCCTCCACTACTTCTTTAATCAAGTTCTCCTTAGTTCTGTGAATGTATTTATAATGGCAATTTTGAAACTTTTTGTTAAATCTGACGTTTGGTCTCATTGGCAGTTTTTGTTGCCTGATTTCTGATGTATGGGTCATACTTCACTGTTTCTTTGCCTGCACTATGATTTTTTATTGAAAACTAGACATTTTAGACAATACAATTTAGGAACACTGGATATTGCCTTCCCCTGCCCCCCAGTTCGGGGCACATTACTGTCATTTGCTTGTTTAGTGATTGGTTGGATTATTTTAGTGAAGTCTATTCCTGCCCTGCCCCCTGCCACACACACACACACACACACACACACACACGCACGCACACACGCACACATGTTCAGCCCTTGGCGCTGCTCCTCTAAGAGGCCCAGTCACCCTGGGAGGACACTGCTTTTGGTAGCACTTGGGTCTCTTTCCCTGAGGGAACTTTGAAAGTCCTCTAATTGCTGGCTGACTGCTCTATTGTTTTCAGCTGCCCTTGGGCATAAATTCCTCTAGCAGCCAATCCAGCCGCATGGCGGCTCTCAGGATGGAACAGTTTCTGAGGTCAGTGCTGATACTTCCTCTGACCCCAGGAGGGCTCCTCCAGTTCTGCACCCCGGTTCTCTCCTGCAAACTGGCCACCCCACAGCCTAGGCTGTGTCTTCATTAGGTCCACAAACGTCCTCTTGTTTTCCTTCACTGCAACCTCTACCACTCTTGAGAGCACCCTTGGGTTTGAACTTCACCACTTTCTGTTGCAAATGAAGTCGGTTCCTCTGGGAAGTGATCAGGGGCATCTCACTTACAGTCTGCGTCTCCGCTACACAGCATCTCTGTGCCAGGGCTCTGGGCCTGGGGGTGGGGCAGTGGCAAGCTCCTTCCTTGGTGACCCCCATTCTCTGAGCTGAGTGCCCTGCAGAGAGACGGGGAGCCAGCGGGCTGAGGTCCTCTCTGTCGTCTCTCCTGGCATGGAACCACCCTCACAAGCTGGGGCGAGGGCTCTGGGGGTCCCGGCGTCCTCAAGGTACAGCCTCCATTCCACTGCAGGAGTAGGGGCTGTGTGGGAGCAGGTGTCCCTCTTCCCAGCCGCACTCCCCGGGGACTCAGCCCACGGGGACAGGGAGCCCCGCGTTGGTGGCTGCAGCCTCTGGACTGGAGCCGCCTCCTTGCTGAGCTGGGACGCTGGGGGAGTCTCGGTTCAAATACCAAAGACTCTCCTTTTTAAACCAATTTCCACAGATTTTCTTGAATACATTTTTCATTTTCTGTTGTCCTTAGGAGTGTTTCCAGAGACTTTAAGTGGTTGTTTTTTAACGATTTTCTCTGGTTTTGCTGGGGAGCTGGTCAGCTGAGCTCTGATTGCTCTCCTGTGGGAAGCCAACCTCCCAGTAAATTTTTGTGTTGTTTTTCTTTTTACAGGAATTGGGCTTTTTTGGTTTACAACCCTTGCCCTTACAGTGGCACATGTGCACGGGTGGGCGTCAGGAGGAAGGGCAGCCCGGGAGGGACAGGCCTCCCTGCCCCCAACACGTGTCCCCTTCTCCCCCCCCCCAGGGCGAGTGCTCCCCCAAGTGCCGCAACCTATTTGTGCTGGAGACGGTGTGCGTGGCCTGGTTCTCCTTCGAGTTCCTGCTGCGCTCGCTGCAGGCTGAGAGCAAGTGTGCCTTCCTGCGGACACCGCTCAACATCATCGACATCCTGGCCATCCTGCCCTTCTACGTGTCGCTGCTCGTGGGCCTGGCGGCGCAGCCGGGTGCAGGCGGCAACAAGCTGCTGGAGCGCGCGGGGCTGGTGCTGCGGCTGTTGCGCGCGCTGCGCGTGCTCTACGTGATGCGCCTGGCGCGCCACTCGCTGGGGCTGCGCTCGCTCGGCCTGACCGTGCGCCGCTGCGCGCGCGAGTTCGGGCTGCTTCTGCTCTTCCTCTGCGTGGCCATGGCCCTCTTTGCGCCACTCGTGCACCTGGCCGAGCGCGAGCTGGGCGCACGCCGCGACTTCTCCAGCGTGCCGGCCAGCTACTGGTGGGCCGTCATCTCCATGACCACCGTGGGCTACGGCGACATGGTGCCACGCAGCCTCCCCGGGCAGGTGGTGGCGCTCAGCAGCATTCTCAGCGGCATCCTGCTCATGGCCTTCCCGGTCACCTCCATCTTCCACACCTTCTCGCGCTCCTACTCAGAGCTCAAGCAGCAGCAGCAGCGCGCCGCCAGCCCCGAGCCCGCCCTGCGCGAGGACAGCACGCACTCCGCCTCTGCCTGCGCCTCCGCCGCGGAGGACGACGGCTCGCAGGGCCCCGACGGTGCCGGCCCGGCCGGGGACTCCGCGGCCGGGCTGTGGGCATCCGCGGGGCCGCCCTGACCCGGCGGGGACGCGGCACCGGCGAAGAGGCTGCTCTCCTGGAGCTCCAGGACCAGAACCGCATTCTCGCCTCCCGCCGCGCACGGAGGGACGGGAACGACTTTGGGGGCCCGGCTCCCTTTGCCGTGCATGTTGCTCGCCCCGCACAGCCCAGAACTTGGCCCGGGGCTGACCCCGGCCTGAATCGGGGGTCACAGCCATCCTGTGCTTTGAAAGAGTTGAACTCCAAGGAGCGTCACCAGCCTGTCCTCCGCTTTCCTTTTGTCTCTGGACTTTTGACTCCGTGATGGCCAGCTAAAAGTAAATTCAGCGATCCCAGAAGCTCCAAGCCTGTAGCTCATCCCCAGGCCTCACCTTGACCTTCCCCTGCGCGTCACTGGTGGGGCGCAGTGGGGGTGGGGCGCAGTCCCTTTCTGCGCCCGCCGTGTCACCCACAGTGGGCCATGCCCATCAGAGGGGGTCTCCTCATCACGTCTGCAGAAGCCCACATCGTTGCCAAGCTATAGGGACAAAGGTGTGACACTGATGCTCACAGCACGCCAGTTCCTTCAGGGGAGGGAGGTCCCAGCCCTGACCTCTGACCTCCCTTCCCCGGCACAAGCTCCGTGGGGATCTTCCGGGATCCCTCCTCATGGGTTCGCCCCTGAAAATGCCCGGCAAAGCTGAAGGCCTGCACATCAGCCGGCCCCACCCTCCCCTCGGGCGCCCCGCCCGGGGTGACTGAGCTGCTTCTCTGGAGGCCGGAGGAATCTATGCTCATCACATCGCTCGCTCGTCACCCAGCACGGCTGGTCGTCCGGGAAGAACCGCTTCCTCCTGCGGGGCGGGGAGGCCTTGCCGATTTTCCCTCCAAGGGTTCGGTCAGCGGTGGAGTAACCCAAGGCAGCTGTCCCCTGTCCTCCCTCCGCCCCCCCCCCCCCCCCCCCCGCTGCAGTGGCTCTGAGGGCACCCAGGCGCCCTGCAAGACCAGAGGCCACCTCGGGTCACGGGATGGGGTGCCCGTCGGCCATCCTGCTGGGAACCGCGGGTGTGTGGGGAGGGGCGGAGCACACCCACTGCCCACCACGCGGGCGGAGCGCCAGCAGCTGGCTTGTCTGTTCCGTCTCCCCACCGCCACCCCGACCCACCCCACCCCTACCGTCCCTCCGGCTGCGCTCTGGAAGGCTCCGCTGGCTATGGCCTCGGTTGCCCATCTGGGTTGGGGGCCGGGAACTGGCCAGGTCCCTGCCGGCCTGCTCCCTCATGCACGCCAAGGAAACCCAGACTGGAGGCACCCCTGTGCGTCTCCTGCAAGACGTGGTGTTGCCATCGCTGCCTCCTTGGCCACCTGCTGAAAACGCTCGAAAGCACTGCAGGAGGGAAGACAGGAGACTGAGTTTGCGAATGCAGCTGTCTCAACCCCCCAAGTGCTGTGCAGAGAGCCAAGGTCAGTTCCCGCCGACTCACGACTCGCTGACGCAGGGGCACTGGGTTTGCTCTGGCCACCAAACCAGTGGGCAGGCTGCGTGGGCCAGGCACCCCCCTCTGCACCTGAGTTTCCCCACCGGTACAACCAGAGTGATCCCGAAGAACCCTCTGGCTCCACAGCCCCAACATGCAGGATCCTGGTCCCCGCCAGAGCTGTCCGGTTGACCCCAAAACGTCTGCAGAGCGTTTAGGGGGTGACTTGTGTCTGTGCCATTCCAGGGATCAGCCAGCGCTCCCCTTCCCCTCGGGGCTGCTTTCTGCACAGGCTGTGCATCCTCCCTTGGGCCCTAACGGGCCCTCCCCCACTCCCAGCTGACCCGCGTGTGCCACTCAGACTGAACAGGGCAGCTCCAGGGCTGAACATGCTCCACTGTCAATGTTGAGAGTTGGAAACCCCCACATTTGCTTCCAAAATAGCCCCAATTCCTGCACGCCTTATCTTCGGGGAAAATGCATCCCCCGCCCCTGCCCGCGCGCGCGCACACACACACACACACACACACACACACACACACAGTTTCTTCTTGGCCAGCTGGATACCAGGGCTGGGGTGGTGAGGGCAGCTCGAGAGCTGTGGGCAGGGTGCCGGCACCGTTCGCAGCTCTTTATCTGCTCAGAGCTTTCAGAAGCTCAACTGAACGAGATGAACTTTCTCACGCACCCCAGGAGCCGGGGCAACAGCACCATTTTGTTCCCATTTCCAAAATGCTATCCTCGTTGAGAGGAAGAGCTATAAAAATAAATAGGACATTTAGGGTTTGGGGGGAAAAGTAACCTTCATATATTTTTTTCACTAGAAGCCCCACTTCTCGTGGGGCTATTAAAAACGTCTGCCCTTTCCCCGGTGGATGGCTGTGCCCAGAGCTCGGGGTTCAGAGCTCTCTTGGCCGGGGCAGCAGCTGGGCCTGTGAAACAGCTCTCTCTTCTCTGTGTCTGAAGGGCAGCTCTAGGGCTCGCTCCCCAGAGGAACACAGGAGCCTGTTCAGTGCCGTTTCCCGGCTCTACGGCATTAATTTTTTAATTAAAATAGTTATTTTCAGTTAACACATTATCAGAAGGAAAACAAAATGTACCCCCAGAGCAGGACCCCTGTCCTGCGTGATTCAGTACATGGGCTCCAGGGTCCACACCGAGGCTCCCTGCTGCCTGGGGCGGCCACATCGGATGTCACCACCTTTGATCAGCTCACTCAGACTCTCCGAGGCCAGCGCTACAGGCTGGGGTGACTCACTGAAAAAACGTAAAATATATCACTTTCACGTATTTCGACTTTGTTGATTTTTTTGGTCTTGCCCTCAGCAGAAATACTCTCCATGAAAAAAAAAAAAAACTGCTCGGTACAAAGGGATCCAACCCTACTTGCTATACAGAATTACCGGTTTTCCTTGAAACACTTTTTTTGGCCTTTAAAGGAGACACTCCCCAACCTTTTGAGGCATCCCGTTGTTAAGGGAACTGTGTGAACTGACGGAGACCAGGGCGCCACCACCTCCCCCCGCCTGGCCCTGCTGGCACAGGACGCTCACTGTCCCCGGGGGCCTGAGGGAGCAGCCCCGGTCTCACAGGGGCCACAACTGTCCCCCAAGGAGGAGACGCTGGCCCAGCCCTTCCCTGGGGTCCCCTGAGGTGAATGAGGACGAGACTGGTCCTTTACTCTGCCCTGGACCCCCCACTCCGACTCCACTCACAAGGCCACGCTGGATCCACGAGCAGTTTATTGAATTAAAGCCACCCTGACAGAATCAGCAGTGCTCCCACACGTGGCATGTAGGTCACCCCTGCAACTGGTAATGTTTTAATTTGGAGGCAATGACTGCTACAGACATCTCCTTTCATTTTTAAAAAGTAAACGTTTTCAAAGCATCTTGCAGGCCAGAGAACTAAGCAGGATCCTCAAACATTCAGGAGTTTTTGAGGAAAACTCAGGAGGAGGAAGCGGCTCCGCACGCCTTCCACTGGCCATAGCAGACGCTGCAGCTTTGGCACCAGCCCCAGGGCCGTGGACACTACAGAGCCACCCCTCTGCCTGGGGGAAGGAAAAGCGCCTGCGGGAGCCGTGTGGAAGCGTCTAAACACTTGCCCTGCGGGGCCCGGAGTTGGAGCAGGGCCGCTGGGCACGGCTGAGATGCTCGTGTAAACCGAAGGGGGACCAGTGTCAGACCAGCACCCCACCACCACCAGGCACAGCCGATGCGGAAGGCTGCACAGGAGGAGGGTGGCAGCAGGGATGCCCTGCACAGCATGGGGGACACCTGCCTCACTGTCCCCTGCCCTGACCCGCAGGCATCTCCAGACCTGGAAGACAGACACCTAAGGCCATATCCGCAAGCACACGGTTCCCAGAGGAAAGGGATGCCTGTGCGGTAGCCCGCTGTGGGGATGGCCAGTGGGTCTGCCCGGCCCCAGGCCCGGGCCCTCGGCCTTCCCAGGCAGCCCCGGGGGCTGCTGCACCTGCCATGCCCCAGCACCCACAGAGAACCCAGGCCCCGCTCCCAACACCTCGGGGCTCACACTGGCCAGAGCCCGGCTGGAGATGGTGGGTCCACAGCAGCCTGCCCAGGAGGGGCCGGCAGAGCAGCGAGGCCACTGGGGGCCCTGGAAAGGTACCTACCTAGGGTTTCGCAACCAGAGCCCTGTGATGCTTCGGTACCTCACCCCCACGTGTCCCGGGCCTGACCCTGCCGTGAGTCACCCCCAGCCAATCTGAGGCTGCGGGCTCCGTGGGCTGGGACCTGGGCTCTCCTGGTGCCATTTCTCACTCCTGCCCCCCGTCTCTCCCATCTTGGGGCTCCCCAGCCCAGCTGCAGGCCCCCTCGGCCCCATCAGCCACGTCGAGGCCACGGGGGCTGACATGTGGAGGTTTCCTGAGGTCCTTGGTCCTGCAGGGCCGAGGGTGGCCTCCTCCTGGTATGTGAACATGACCCAGGCTCCAGCCAGCAGTATTTTGAGCCAAAGTGGGAGAGGAGACCTGCTTTTCCGTCACTTTGAGAACAGCAGGCGCCCAGCCTGGGGGGAAAACCTGCTCACACGAGTCCTGGATAACAGAGCACAATGTCGGCACCCAGGCCCCCATCACCCCCCGAGAGCCACAGAAGCTGAGCAAGACCCGATGGCTGGGACCCTGTCTTGGGGCCGTAGCACCCACCTGCCCCACTCGGGGAGGACAGGTGGCCTGGCCGGAGCCCACGGCCCGTGGTCCCACATCCTCATCCTCCCGGCTGCCTCAGAGGGCCTTGGCGCTGGCGGGGTGCGCTGCGTGGGGGGCCGGCTTTAGGGGGTGGCGGGTGAACACGTAGGCCTGCCCCAGGATGGCCAGGTCCACCAGCACCTGCAGCAGCCCGCACACTGAGAACTGCAGGGGCGCGCCGTTCAGCAGGAAGTAGGCCGTCTTGAAGGTGTCGCCACTCGTCCACATGAGGACCATCTTGATGCTGTGGAGACATGAACGGTGGTCAGGGGTCACAGACCATGGATCAGGGGTCACGACCCCAGGGTCGGGGGACATAATCCAGGGGTCAGGGGCCAAAATCTAGGGGTCAGGGGACATAACCCAGTGGTCAGGGGTCCTAATCCAGGGGCCAGGGGACATAGTCCAGGGGCCAGGGGCCATGCCAGGCCTCGGCCCACCCTCCCATCCCTCCTGTCCTGGCCATGAAGCCACCGCGTGCATGGCCGCAAGGACAGGAAGGCCCTTCGGCAGGAGCAGCTTCAGCTCTCCAGAGCAGGGGAGGGGCTGGCACAGGGGCCGAGCCCACACGGCCTCACAAACGTCCCATCCTTCCTGGCTGCAGGCACATCAGGTGTGTGTCCCTCGGGAGACGTGCTGTGGCCTCAGACGGGAGAGGGAAGACCGCCACCTCCTCATGCCGCATCCCACAGGCTGACCCTGCAGCATGAGAACTGGCCTGGGAGGGGCGGCCCTCTGCCCCCCACACCTGCACCCAGGGGTGCTGAGCAGGAAACCAGAGGCTGCCGGGCAAAGCAGGGTGACGCGGGCTTCTCCTGGGAATCCCCTCCAGGCCAGGCCCCTCACTCAAAAGACAGCCTGAAGGCGATTCCATTCCTGGTCATCGGTGCCACTCCCAAAGTCAGATCGGTCCGTGTGGCACAGAGCGGCCCCGTGTCATCTATCGCTCACGTCTGCACACACCTCTCCACACACAGCATCTAACGCCTGGCTTGCCAGGTAACGGGCAAGAGCACCATCGTGTTTTCCTGCATAAAGTGTTCAAATGAGACCCACTTCCACAGCAGGCACACACTACGTGGCTCACTAAACCAGACCACGGCTTGAGGGGGGGCTGCCTGTCACAGGGAGGAGGTGAGGACCCTCAGGGACAGGATGACACCAGGCTGGAAGCCATCTGTGCCACAGGCAGGGCGGGCACTTTGCGCCCCTGAGGTGGCCCCGGTTCACCCCAGAGCTGGGCGGCCTCCGACCCCAGGTCAGCTCTTATGAGTAAAACCAGGCGAGGAGCCCATGGCCCAGTGCAGGGATGTCCATGTCCCCTGCCCTGCCCACAGGAGTGTCAGCCCGACCGTGCAGAACCGGGACAGGAAGTGGACAGCTCCCCTGACCTGCACCCACAGCGTCTGGAGGCTTCCATGATCCTTAATCAGGAGAACGACTCAGGGCACGGGGAGGCGCAGAAGGTTGGTTCCCGTCGACCCTGCAGCCGGCCCACCCATCTGAACAGCGCAGTGCGTCTCACTTGGCTTGTCGTGTTGACTCACATGGCGTTTAAAGACTTTTGCTTTTAATTAGCTGATAACTAACTCTGCATTTAAAAATCCAGGTTATTATATATCATCAGTCCTTTTTCTCTGGCTTTCAACATTTATTTGACTTTGGTTTTTAGCAGTTTGTGATGTAATGCATGTTTGGGACTTGCTGAATATCTTAAATCTGTACGTTGATCTTGCATCAAATTTGGGAGGTCTTCAGCCGTTATTTCTCCAGCATTCTTTTCTGCACCAGTCTTTCCCCTCTCCTGTGGTCTCACCTGACATGAATGTTAGATTTCATGGTGCTGTCCCTGAGTCTATTCTCTTTTTTTCCCCCGATTTTTTTTCTGTTGTTCAGACTTTCACTTTTTCTGTTGTTCAGACTTTCATTGATCTTCAAGTTCATTAATTCGTCCTCTATCATCACCATTCTACTACTGAACTACTGAAGTGTAGTTTTTATTTAGCTACTGTATTTTTCAAGTTAAAAATTTCGAGCTGGCTTTTCTTACAGCTTTTATTTCTCTCCTGAGATGGTCCGTCTTTGCATTGATTTAAAGAGCGTCTGCTGTTGCCCTTTAGAGCACAGTTACACTAGTGCCTTGAAAATCTGGTAATTCCAGTATCTGTGTCACCTTAGTTGACTGTTTCTCGATTCTTTGTTGTCTGTTGATTGTCTTTTGAGAGTTGCTGAGATTTTCCTATTCTTCGTGGTGAGTAACTTGGGTTTATATCCTAGACGTTCTTAACGTTCCGTAAGGAGACTGTCTTGCTTCAGTCCTGTGGAGAACGTCGTGTTTTGTGTGCTACCAGGGAACCGATGCGGTTAAATTGAGTTCAAGCTGCAAGTTCTGGGTGGTTTTCAGGGGCTACGGCTCAATTTCAGCTCAGTTTTCAAAACCACTGCGGTGCTATTCGTATCTGCACTGTGTGGGCAGCCCTCGGTGGCCAGGCGGGGACTTGGGTGGTGGTCTGCCCCGCAGGTCCTGGAGGAGAGCCCTTCCTGCCCCTCAGACCAGGCAGAGCGGCTTCTCTCGGAGCTTTCTACCCAGCACACCGTTCTGGACTTGGGGCTGTGCTGGAGTCCAGGCTGGCAGATGTGAAAAAACAAAACGTCAATCCGTCTGCTCCAGCACCCAGAGCTGCTCCATCCGTCCTGTCCAGATTTGTAGCTGCACCCAAGGGGAAAGACGGGCCCTTCATGGAAAAGATCTGAGATTAGTAGCATTCCATCACTGGCCACCCTGTGCCCCGTCCCAAGTTTTGCTGGCCTTCGCTGACTGGTCCCTGTGGACACCTGACCTAGTAGACCCTGGACGATGGCTGAGGAGCAGCAGGGAGAATGCCTCACTGCTGTCATCTCTTCTACGTGGCATCTGTCGCCGCAAAGTTGTGCCTCTCTCTCCGTCTGAATTCTGTCCTGCTCTGGTGCACCAACTCGGAATTTTAGAGTGAACTAGTGGTGTGAAAAATGGCCTGTAGGTGACTCTGCATCACGGTTCGGGGACACAGGGGACTGGACAGGGGCCGCCCACAGCGGTATCTGGAAAGAGCAGCAGGTGGGAGCACAGGGGCTGCCCAGCAGCGGCTCGGGTCAACCTGCACACGTAGAACCCCGGGGGGATTGCAGAGGCTGGGCGGGAGGGAGATGCACATGACACGGTGGAGAAACGCACCAGAGTGACAGCTGTGGTGGGAGCGGTGTGCGCCGGGGGACTGGGCACCAGTGTGGCCGGGTGGCACCAGGAGGCTGCAGGCACCTGGGCAGACCAGAGCCACCCATCTGAGCTATAGAGATGCCTGGCCTGCCAGCGAGGCTGCTCACAGCTTTCCACAGCTCGGAGCACCTCCATTTCAAAGGAAAACCCACACCCACAGAGCAAGCATTTCAAGGAGAAGCTCCGACAAGCAACCGCCATTTCTGCAAAAGGCCATGAAGACAGGAAGAGAACCAACGAGTCATAAATGAGTCTAGTTCCATTTTACAGAATTAAGAGCTGAGGCACAGTCTCCCCCAGAGGTACCCGAACTTAATAGGAGACCCAAAGACCCCCCCCCTCCAAAAACAAACAACACGGAGTGGCCTGTGCGCCCCCTTTTATGGAGGAGAGGCTGAGGCATAGAGGAGTCGGGTGGCTTGCCCAAGGGCACACAGCGAGTGCCTTACACTGTGGGAAGGGCTGGGGAGGGGGCGGCAGAAGGCACAGCTGGAGCCTGTCCCGGGCTGGTGTCCCTCTGGGCCCTGGAGGCACAGGTGCACCTTCACCCCACAAGTGGAGACGTGAGGTAACTGCAGAGAGCTGGGCCCTGCCTGACGCACACGAACATTTTTAGCTGCCCGGGCGCCTCCCCGGCCCCGGCCCACAATCAGCTCTCGCCCCGGGGACAGGAATCCGACAGGCCCCACCACCAGCCCCACGTGTCAAGGGCTCGGGGCAAATATTAATCAAGCTGCTCCCGGCCCGTCTAAGCAGAAGACCAGTGCCAGCCTGAGCGATGTGAGACCTCGTGCAGGGCGCTCTGGAAATACAAGCTCGTGCCTCGCACCCTCTGGTCACCCCAGACCCTGCGGTGCCCTGTGGACGTGTGCCGAGCCCAGGCCCATTCTCCCCACACGGGTGTTAGGTCATCCTTTACCCTCAACAGCTATTGGGCGGGGCGAGCCCCGAGGCTTGGCTACCACTGGCCAGCAGGCCAGGGACGTCCTCGTGGACACCACGTCCGGAGCTCGCCTGCTGCGCACGGCTGGGTCTCCAGGAAGACCCCTCCTCGACAGAGGGCTCAGCTGGCTGGCCCAGGGCTCCAGTGATGCGGGGGGCGCAGGGCTCGGAACCTTGCGGAAGCCGGTCTGGGTGGGAGGGGAGACTGTCCCCAGGCTGCATTCCTCCAGCTCAGGGGGCGCCGGGAAGCTGGATCCCTTTTTCTAGATCCCCCCTCACACCGGGCCCCACCCCAGCTGCTGCCTCAAATACCTGGCCCTCCCCACCCTCCTGCTATTTTAATACGGGCCCCCGGTACCTCATTCTTGGCTCCAGCATGTTTCCTTCCCAAGTGAGCAGGCAGATGACCATTCCTAAAATACCTCTCACCTCATCCTCGCCCCATCCGGCCGTCCAGAAAGCCTCCGCCCGGCCAGTGCCCGCGAGGTGAGAGCCTCACCCCTGCGCCTACCCCGGCCCCGCCAGCAGCCCACACACCTCCCCGGCCGCGCCTCATTCCCACCTCCCGGCCCGGGCCACACCTACCCTCCTGTCCACCTATCCAAAGCTCCCCGAAATTCAAACCCTACCCAGAACACATCCCACAGGAGTAGGTCTTTGTGACCGTGGGTCACAAGAAACAGTGGTCTCTTGGGTGTGACATCCAAAGCATAGCAGTTTTTAAAAAGATACATTGGACTCCAAGTCAAATCTGTTGCGCTGCAACGTGAAAAGACAGCACACACTGGGAGAAGATATTTGCAAATCATATACCTGGCAAGAGCAGTTAAAGATCTCTACAACTCAATAATGAAAGGCAGCTAACCAAATTTTTAAATGGGCAAAGAATCTGGATAGACCTTTCTCTAAAGAAGACGCATAAATGGCCAATAATCACAGGAAAAGGTGTTTGATGTCATTAGTCACCAGAGAAACGCAAATCAAAGCCACAGGAGATCCCACTTCACACCCACGAGGATGGCTACAATCAAGGGGTCAGAGGGTAACAAGCGTTGGTGAGGGTGTGGAAAAGCCAGAACCCCCGAACACCCCTGGTGGGAACGGAAAATGGTGCAGCCACCAACTCAGCAATTCCACTGCTAGGTGTATTCCAAGACAAAGGAAAGCATACCTCCACACAGAAACTGGTACACAAATGTTCACAGAAGCACTGTTCATAACAGCCAAAAAGATGTCGAACCCAAACGTCTACCGGCTGAAGAAGACATAAGCAAAACTTGATCTGTCCGTACACTGAAATATTATTCAACCTTAGAAAAGATGGACACTGACAGATCGTACGTGGACGGACCTTGGGAACATCATGCAGAGTGAACGCAGCGAAGGACCTCGCATCGTCTGATTCCATTTACGTGACCTGCCCCGAGCACAGAGCCGCAGAGACAGAAAGCAGACCAGTGGTTGCCCAGGCCTGGCAGCGAGGGTGGGGGAAATGGGGAGTGCTGATGGGTATGAGGCTGCTTCCTGGGTGACGAAAATGTCCTAAAATTAGATTGGGTGACGGCTGCACAGCTCTGTGGTAGTCCTAAAATCCACTGAATTGCGTACTTTAAATGGCGATGGTGTGATAGGTTACATCTCAATGAAGTTTTTTTTTTTTTCTTTAAGTTCCAGGGCTTTTGCTGAATTCTAATTCCAGCCCTCCTCGTCCAGCGACTGGACCCTGGGTGTGGCGTGTGCGCACATGTGCAGGGGTGTGTGGCGTGTGCGTGTGTGTACTGTGGCGGAGAAGCGTGTGTGGGAGCCCAGGCGTGCGCTGTTACCACGTGCATGGCATTCTCCGCTCACACCACTGTGGGCTGATTACGTGTCAAGGACGACAGAGGAAGATGAATGGGGGGCTGAGAAGTGACGTACGTGCGGCCCCCGGGGGAGACGCCGCCCTGATTCCCGAGCAGCCAAGGCAAGGCTCCAGGCGCCCAGCTCCAGGTTCAAGGGCAACGCCGGAGCCGGACCAGATGGACACTTCCCGGACGCTTCCTGTCAAGGCAGGAAGTGTCCCCGCTGGGACAAGGCAGCGGGCTGGGGCGGCCCCAGCTGCTGCTGCGCCTCGGCATCCCCACCACACCACGGGGGCCGCGCACGCACACACGCACGCGCGTACACACGACCTCCTCTCGTGGCCCCTGCTCGCCCCCGGGCTTCCCGCCTGCCCCTCCCCCTCCTCAATCGTAGTAACCGGTTCCCCGGATGGTTTTCCCCACAGCTGGCCTCCTCTTCCAGTCCCACCCGCCCCCAGGCTCTCCAGTAATTACTTGTTGGGGAACATCTTCCGATCCGGCAAAACGCGGAGGAAGGAGGAGGGAACTTCTGCACTAATTAGTAACATGATTTCAAAAGCGACGGCACTTTCTATTACTGGTTCAGAAGAACAGTCACTTAACATCTTGTAAAGGGAAATCATCAAGTATCTCTTGCATTTCCTCCAAGAAATGTACGTGTGTGAAAATGAGTGTGTGCATGTGTGTGCGTGAGCATATGTGCATGTATGTTTGAGAATCTGCGTTTGCGCGAGTGTGTGCACACACCTGTGCGCGTGGGCTCACACCCTCTAAAGGCGTCCATGGGTAGGCCCTTCCAAGCAGGTCCGCAGGAGACGAAGTTGGCCCTCAGATAGGACCTCACAGCCCCTTCCCTTCTTACACCTCCTGACGGTCTTCCATCTGAAGCAAGTTGAGGCTGAGTGTCCTGCGGCAGATCTGTGGTGGCCCTGACCACAGGGCTCTGAGAATCCCAAATCCCAGCGGACCCAGGGCTTCTCCATCATAGAGAAGGTCGGTGGGTGAAGCAGCCCTCCCGGCGGGCTCCCTGGATGGATGCCTGAGGATGCTGGGTCAGGCCACGCAGAGCGGCTGCTGGGAAGTGGGGACGAGGGGCAGAGGCAGCCCTGAGACCAAGTCCTGAGTCCGGGCCTGGGTGCAGGAGAGGGAGGAAGGCCTCTGGTCCTCTGCTTGGGACGGGAGCAACCAACCTCAGGAGGCTCCTGTGTCCATGCCGAGGGGGGCTGACCACGCAGCCGGCCGGAGGGTCCCGTGTCGGGGCAAGTTCTGGTCTGAACCTGGGCTGAACCGACCCCGCTAAGTGCACACAGGGAGCCCCAGCCTCTCTCTTCCAGGCCGGGATGTGGAAAACGCGAGGGGCGCTTTCCTCACAGCCCCACCCTCCTCGCCCCACCCAGGAGCCCGCGATCCACCCCATAGGAACCAGGCTACAACGTGACAGGCTGGACACTTGGGGGCAACCACGCTCGCCACAGCTCAGGCTGCAGCGGGCATCCAGGCTCCCTGAACACACGGGTGGCATCGTGCTGGCCCTGGGGACGAGGGAAGGGTCAGACGCAGGTCAGACCAGCCCGGCCTGCACAGGGATACCTAAGAGTCTCATTTTCAGGATCGTGGAGTCGGATTTATTGACGTGTGACAGCCAAGCTGTTCTGAAGACACGTCACTGAGCAAGGAAAGAAGGCCCCACCCTGGGGACAAAGTGACAAAACGGAGCTTGGCAGGGATGGAGCAGAGACCGCGGTGGGGCTGAGGGAAGACCCAGCAGAGGGACGCGCGGAGGCCCGGGTGCCCGTGAGCTGCGCTGGGAGAAGCCTGTGCCTGCGTTGCACTGTTGACGCACCTGCTTCAGGTTTAATCCATCACTGCGTGAAAATTCCTTTACCTTAGAGTTTCTCTTACACAGACTTCTTCGAAGAAGCACAAATTTTACAGGAAACAAAACTGTAACCAGGCTCCAGCCCTGCATTCACTCTCTCAGCACTCAGTCTGTGCTCACCGCTAAGAAAAAGGGTGTTGGCCCTTTAAATACACACAGAGCAAGGTCACCTCTCTGTTAACTCCAGCTGAGCAGAGAACCTGTGACCCTCCCATCACCTCCGGTCACCTGCAGGACATGCCACCCCACACCACATGCAGACAGCAGAGCCTCAGCTCAGGGCCCAGCTGGCCCCCAGCGGCCTGGCCCTGCAGACCCACCCATGGAGCCCTGCCACGACAGCAACACTGAACAGGTCCCTAACCTAATTACACCTCCACCCAGAGCCCGGCTCTGAGCGGCAGGGCCCACGATTAGGTTAGTCTTCTTAACGAGGATGAGTGGGGCTCTTGAGAGGACCTTGCACTCCAAGCTGATTGAATTAGCGGCCCGTGCCCATGTCTGTGACAGAGACTGCCCCCCTCCGCTGGCTCCGGGCCCTGCTCGGGCCCCGCTGGCTGGCATGGAGCGGGTCTTCGTCCCTGTGCAGCCGGGCCTTCTCGCAACCTGCTCGCGGCACTGACCGCAGTCTCCTTCCCTTCCCTTCCGCCTTTGCCTTCTGTCTCCTTTACCCAGTGCCACCAGGCAGGCGGGTGGTCTGTGGGGGGGAGGGCACTGGGGGAGAGGGGCTGCGGTCACCAAAGGCTGACGACCACATGCATCCTTTCCGCCCTAAAGTCAGAACCTCAGGAGCACGTGCACGACCCGGGCTTCCTCCTTTCAGGTCCAACGGCCCAGGTACCAGGGCCTTCTGCGCATCCTGTCACTCCCGAGGTCGCCCTGAGACAGGAAGGGGGACGGCCACGCCCACGGCCGTGCTTCTGCAGAGCGGCACAGACCTCCATGGTCCGGCCTGGCGTCTTTCCAACACTGCCTTTGCTGGCTGAGTCACCGCAGCCCCACCAGGGACAATTCCCACTGGGGCCTTCTGCAACTTTTGCTGTTGTGCACAAATTCTCCAAGAATTAGCCCGATCAGCCAGGTACCCACACTGGTAAATCTTCCACATTCATACCTGCTTCCCCAAGTGTTGTCACTTTCCCGAAAGTGATTTCGAGAATCAACTATTTTAGTCCTTCATGAGTTCATTCAATAAATATTTACTGAACTGAACTGCTGTAATTTTCCAAGCACATTGTCAGATGTTGGGGAAAGAAAGAAACGGGATACAGTTCTTGCCTTCAAGGCTGTCAGTCAAGTAGATGAGCTGGGCAAATTAAAACATCTGCGCATCACTGTCAGATGGCAAGGATGTTTCTGGAGAAACATGGAGACGGTGGTCAAATAAAAGGAGGTTTAGAAGGTCAGCCTAAAAGACAGCTGCAGTCATGTGTCCTGTACCCAAGATAAGAGGATCGCACACAAAAACAAAGGGTTAGTTAAAATCAGGTGTGACACAAACTTCAGCTTCTTGGAAGACAGAATCGTCTCCCTGTTCCTCCCCTATACACCCTGGACATTACATAGAAACACAAGACTCTCAAAGGTGGGGAAAAGGCCACAGGAACGCCAGACTTGGAGCTGAAGAAGCAGGAAATGCCAGGAGGCCCCAGGAACAGGCTGTTCTCTGTGCAAAAGACCAGGAAGGGTGCAGCCTGGCAGAATAGGCAACTTTAGCCAATAACTGCTCTACTCCAAACAAAACAGAAAAAAAGGCAGCCCCCCCACCACCCGTGATAGCAGAGGAGGGTGGAAATCCCAGACGTTTACTCCTGCCAGGCGTCCCAATCCCACCGCCAGGGTAGTGTGAAGAAAGCCAGCTAAAACCAAAGGTCTAAGTAAGACCCAGAGTCTTATAAATAACGTGGAAATGTCCAGGTTTAAACTGGAAATCATCTGTCATATCAAGAACCAAGAAGATCTCAAACAAAATTTTAAAAAGACAGTGTTTAGATGCCAAAACGGTGAGAAAAAGCAAAGATTTTCAAACAGCCACTTTAAAACTGCTTCTATGAGCAATTATGAATATGCTTGAAACAAACGAAAAAAGAGAGTCTCAGCAAAGAAACAAAAAGCTTCACAAAAGAAACAAATATGTAAAGAAGGACCAAATGTAAGTTTTACTGTATTGAAAAATACAACAACCAAAGGAAACAGTCAGTAAATGGGCTCTCAGAGCACAGTGGCTGGAACACCAGAAAGAACCAGTGAACCATAACAAAAAAAGAAATGATCTTAACAAAAGAATCATAGCAAATGACCTAACATTCCACATCATCAGAGTCCTAGAGAAGAGGGGTAAAGGGCAAGACTGAAAAAGTACTCAAAGACATAACAGCTGAAAACTTCCCCAAATTAGCAGGAAGTATAAGCCTAGGGATTCAAGAAGCTGAGTGAATCCCAAACAGGACAGATCCACACCAAGACACACGTCACAGTCAAACTTCTGAAAACTAAAGACCAAAAAAATAAATCTCAAAAGCAGCTAGAGCAAAATAACAACTTACTTACAGAGGAAACAAACATCACAGTGGGTTTCTCCTCAGAAGCCACAGGGGCCAGAAGGAAGGGCTAAAAGAAATGAACTATCAACCTAGTTCAACCTATATCAGCAAAAACATCCTTCAGAGATGAAAGGGATATGAAGACATTCTCAGGTGAAGGAAAAGTAAAAAAATCTGCCACCACCTGAAATACCCTTAAAGGCTAGTTACAGGAGTTTCTCAAAACAGGAAAAAAAACAAAACAAAAACGAAAACAAGGAAAGAAGGCATCTTGCAACAGCAGGGAGGAAGGAAGAACATCATAAGCAAAAATAAGGGTAAACACAATAGACATTCCTATCCTCTTTAGTTTTGTGCATTATGTTGATTGAAGCAAAAATTATAATATTATCTGATGTGGTTCTAAATATGAATAGAGGAAATATTTAAGAAAATTATAAGTGGAGGGAAACATCACATATATAAAATATACTACATTAAAAATATCATAAAGGGAGGTAGAGTTTCTACACTTCACTAAAAAAATCTATACAGAGAGATACCCACTCAGAAACACCATAGATAAATACTCATTAAACAATAACTCCCCATTCTCCCCTCTTCCTAGCCCCTGGCAACCACCATTCGACTTTCTGTCTATGAATCTGATGACCCTCAGTCCCTCATATAAGTGGAACCATACAGTATCTGTCCTTTTGTGACTGAGCATCATGTCCTCACGATTCCATGAAGTAACCTGTGTCAGAACTTCCTTCCTGTTAAGACTGAATAATATTCCATTGTATGGACAGACCACATTTTGTTTATCTATTCATCCACTGATGGACACTTGGGTTGCTTCCATGTTTTATCTGTTATGAATAATGCTATTATGTTATGAACATGGGTGTACAATATCTCTTCAAGACCCTGCTTTCAATTCTCTTGGTTATATGCCCAGAAGTAGAATTGCTGGGTCACATTGTAATTCTATTTTTAATATTTTGAGGAAATGCCATATTGCTTTCCACAGCAGCTGGGCCACTTTGCATTCCCACCAACAGAACACAAGAATTCCAATCTTTGCACATCCTTTACCAACACTTGCTGTTCTGTTTTTCTGACAGTCACCATCCAAACGGGTAAGAGGTGGCATCTCACCGTAGTTTTCATTGTACAGGTCTTCCACCTCCTTGGTTAAGTTAATTCCTAAGCATTTTTTGCGTTTTGATGTTCTCATAAATGGAACTGTGCCTGAGGGAGGCAGGGAGCGCCTGAGACCTGCTCCTGGTGGTGCTAAGGGGGAGGAGGCTGCCGTGTCGTTTCCTACATTAAAGGGCTTGAACCTTCTGCCTTTGGGAGACATCTGTGGACCCCGCCTCCCGTCCGTGGCCCGCAGTGAGCTGCTTCACGGGAGGGTCTCGGCTTCCCCTCACCTGTCGCACAGGAACACACCTGCTTGTACATCAAGAGGTCAGAAGACCAGTGTCCTAGCCCGAAGCTGCTCTTGAACTGGTAGCTTCCCAGCAGAACTGAAAGTGAAGCAGAGATCTGCACACAGGTCCCTGCCGCGCCCCTACCTCATGCCCTCCGTGGACTGGTGGCGGTGGTTGCGGCAGAGCTGCGGCATGCCCAGCATGGCCTCGGTCAGCACGGCCAGGAAGCCCAGGCTCTCCACGAAAAGGGCCGAGTCGATGGACAGGTAGGTGACACAGCCCGCCACACAGGTGAAGGCCAGGACACACTGCACGTAGTCCCCAAAGCTGTTCCAGTGCCAAAAGTGCTGGGGGTCGAAGTCTAGGGCAAAAGGGAGAGAAACGTGAACGAGGTGTGCAGGTCAAGGTCAGTGTGGGGGAGGACAGGACCCAGTGAGGAGGCCAAGGTCAGTGTGGGGAGGGCGAGACCGAGTGAGGAGGCCAAGGTCAGTGTGGGGAGGACGGGACCAAGTGAGGAGGTCAAGGTCAGTGTGGGGGAGGACGGGACCGAGTGAGGAGGCCAAGGTCAGGGTGGGGAGGACGGGACCGAGCGGGGAGGCCAAGGTCAGTGGGGGGAGGACGGGACCGAGTGAGGAGGCCAAGGTCAGTGTGGGGAGGACGGGACCGAGTGAGGAGGTCAAGGTCAGTGGGGGGAGGACGGGACCGAGTGAGGAGGTCAAGGTCAGTGGGGGGAGGAGGACCGAGTGAGGAGGTCAAGGTCAGTGGGGGGAGGATAGGACCAAGTGGGGAGGTCAAGGTCAGTGAGAGGAGGACGTAAACTGTGGGCTCCATCTGCCTCCATGATGGCATTTCTGAAGGAGCCTTGATACAGATATTAGCTCCACATAAAAGACACTAAAATCCTTAAATTCTTCCTAACTAGTCTGATAGTGTATTGCGGGCTGGTCCAGAGCCTCTGGAACCTCTCTCCTGGTTAGAATCCCCATTCCTTCCCTCTACAACTTTGGATTAATTTTGTTTCTCCATTTCCTCAGATGTAATAGAGGAACAATAGTTCCTACCTCCTAGGGTTGTTTTATTGGTTAAATAAGTTATTCTTATGAATCTCAAAAGTACCCAGCCCATAATAAGGGTTAATAAGGGCCCAGTAAAAATGTACGATATCACCACACACTCAGCTGGTACGATGTTATCGTTTGCCGCACAGACGTGTCCTGCTGACACCAAGTTCACAAGCACTCACACAAATGAGCAGTTCACACGAGCTTCCTGGGCTCGGGCAGAGACACGCGGGGGTCCTGGGCACAGACGTGGTGGCCGGGAAGGTCAGGGAATGGGGATAAACACGGAGGGAGTCGGGGAGGGCGTGATGTGCCGAGCCTGACCCCGTCCTTAGACTGGTAAGGTCCAGAGCCCGGCACCCCTTCGGGAAAAGGCCCAGCAAAGGCTGCCAGCACGGGCGAGGCCACCAGGAGTCGGCCGTCCAGGGGGCCGGGAGGTGCCGTGGGGGAGGGTCCAGGCTGCACCACACGCCCTGTCCCCCACATCCAGGTCTCCCACTACCTAACCCCATGTGAGGACACTGTGGGCATCAGAGCTGGGAAGGGGGAGGGCAGGCAGGGGCACCAGAGGCGGAATGAACACGGCCTGTGGCTCTGAGGTCCCCTCCCCGAGGACCTCAGGGTCCTGAGCCTGGCTGCTCCCTGAAGAGGCCCCTGCTACAGTGTGTGGCCCTGTGTGTGTGGGCGCAGGACACGGAACAGCAGGCCCACGCGCAGGCGTCCCAGACAGAGGGCCCGAGAGGGTGTGGCAGGGCAGGACGCGCAGGCCTGCCGAATTAGGTCCTGTCTTTGTGCCCGAGGAGCAGGGAGAACACGGCCAGGGCTGAGAGCTCGGGCAGGACAGGGACGGCCAAGGACACCAGGTGAGTGTGTGGGGACTTCAGAAAGCTGGGTCTGTGGTCAATCGATCGGAAGCCTTTCTATCTTAGGTTCTCGGGGAGCAAGTCAGTTGGCAAATGACTACCAGAAAACCCATGTCAGTAAGTTTCTGAGAAGAGACCGAGGTTGGGCCCCTACCTTCATGCGCAAAAATTAACCCAAAATGGACCAAAGACTAAACATACTAGATAAAACTAGAAAACCCTTAGAAGAAAATACAGGGAGAAAGCATCATGACACTGAGTTTGTTAGTGATTTCTTAGATATACCAAAAGCACAGGCAACAAATGCAAAAACAGATAAATTGGACTACATCAAAATGTTAAACTTCTGTGCTTCTAGGCAAAAAGCTCCTTGATATGGGTCTTGGCAACGAGTTTTTGGATATGATTCCAAAAGCACAAGCAACAAAAGCAAAAATAAACAAGTGGAATTACATCAAACTAAAAAGCCTCTGCAACTCATAAAGAACAAACTAGTAGTTACGGTGGGGGGTGCGTCCAATACAGGGGTGGGAGGTGCAAGGTACAAACTGCTGGGTGTAAGATCAGCTACAGGGGTGTACTGTACAACACAGGGAATATAGCCAATACTTTGTAAATGGAGTGCAACCTTTAAAAATTTAATGGAAAAAGAAACAAAGAAAAAGCTTCTGCGGAGCAAAAGAAACAATCGGCAACACAAAAAGGCAAACTATGGAATGGGAGGAAATATTTCCTATCTTATGAGGGGTTAATATCCAAAATATATACAGAACCAGACCACTCAACATCCAAAAACAAACAACCCCATTAACAATGGGCAGAATGGGACTTCCCTGGTGGCGCAGTCGTTGGGAATCCGCCTGCCAGTGCAGGGGATACGGGTTCGAGCCCTGGTCCGGGAAGATCCCACATGCCATGGAGCAACTAAGCCCGTGTGCCACAACTACCGAGCCTGTGCTCTAGAGCCCGCGAGCCACAACTACTGAAGCCCGTGTGCTAGAGCCCGTGCTCCGCAACAAAAGAAGCCACCGCAATGAGAATACCGTGCACTGCAACAAAGAGTAGCCCCGCTCACCGCAACTAGAGAAAGCCCGCACAGCAACGGAGACCCAACACAGCCAAAAATAAATAAATGAATGAATAAATTTATTAAAAAATAAAAAAAGAAGTGGGCAGAGGAATTGAATAAATGTTTTTCCAAAGAAGACATACAAGTGGGCGACAGGTACATGAAAAGATGTCCAATATCACCAATCATCAGGGAAATGCAAATCAGAACCACAATGAGATGTCACCTCACACCTGTCAGAATGGCCATCATCAAGAAGACAAGGAATAACAAGTGTTGGCGAGGAGGTGGGAAGAGGGAGCCCGTGCACTGCTGGTGGGGATGTAAATTGGCGCAGCCGCTGCGGAAAACAGGACGGCAGTTTCTCAACAAATTAAACACAGAATTACTGTATGATCCAGCAATTCCACTTCCGGGCATACACCCAAAAGAACTGAAAACACGTACTCGAAAAGATATTTGTACACCCAGTCCTGAGGCTACAGGACGTCAGCGCGAGCTTGGACAGAAGAATGGTGCCCAGAGAGGGGCCGTGCCAGAGCCACGGCATCTTTGCCCGCCCCCCACCCGCAGGGAGGGTCAGGCCTGGGGCTTCACCTTGGCTTCAGGGAGGCCGCAGGGGGCCCGCGTGGCCACCTCCGACTTCTCGCTAGCTCTCTTCAGGCCATCCCAGGCCCCTGCGCTGCCGGTCCACATCCCGCTGTGTCACAGGCAGGTTCTGCAAAGCCGTTGTAGCCAAAAAACCATCCACACAAATGCCAGAAACGGCAGAGCGAAGGTCGAGGTCACCCCACGGGCGCTCGGGGGAGTCCGCATCCTGTCAGCCCCCTGCTCCGCTGACGCTGAGGACAGCACCCCTCCCTACGTTCACCACGACGGACTCCCAGGAGGGACACGAGGACCAGAAGCGGGTCAAGACGAGGGGGGACGGCGTCCGTGGGAGCGCGGAGGGGGCCGGGAGCCCCGCTGCCACCTCCAGAGAGCTCGCTCATATGGCTGCTGTTCGCCAGAGCACGTGGCTGTATTAAGTCTGTCGAGCAATCTGCGTTTACGCTCGAAAACACAAAGTTGCATTTTATGGAATTAAGCTCATCTGTGGCAGAAAACACAGCCTCTTGGATACATTTGTAAAGAATTCCTTTTGAAAGCAAGGACTATGTACAGGCACATGAGCCCCCAGTATGACAGGCGGATCGGACTCCTCCCATCAGCCTGGCACCAGCCAGGGGGCCCTGGGCAGGCAAGCCGGCAGGACGCACAGCGCGCGCCATCTCCCGGGACTCGATGCTCAGGAAACTGCCCCCTCCGAAGGATTAGGTGCCAACAATTCACTTCGAGAACCTAGGAGACACGGCCCTTTTCACCGTGACTCACTGTGGTGACCTGTGGAAATGAGCGTAATTCCTGCCGTTCAGGTTTATAAAACTTCAACCACGTGGGTCAGAGTCCAACAGCAGCGCTCAGGCATCGCAGCTGTCAAATTCTCATCCGACAGCCCCTCGCCTGAGCATCCACTGCTGTGGTGGTGATGAGGCTCCGGGCTGCCCACCACAGCCACTGCAGTCGCTGGGACGTGCCCCTTCAGTAAACCTGACCTGAGACCCGCACCCACCTGCTGCAGCTGAAGTGCTGTCCCCGCGCAAGGACCCCACTCGGAACCAGCCGGCAGCCCGGGCGAGTGAAGCGGGCGGGCGCAGAGGCGTGGGGGGGAGGGGGGGACGTGAGGGCGGCCCAGCAGCGCCACCGGGCCCCGCGTCTGAGTGCGGGGGGCTTGGAAACAAAAAGTCATGCAGCTTGCTCACAGGTCTATGCTCAGGAAGAGGTGGGACCAAATAAGCATGTTCTGAATGAGTAACTCAAGGTGTCTCCTCGAAAGGCCCGAATGACTGTAACAGGCATCATCATCTATAAGCACGAACTCCGAACGAGGTGGAAAGCTGTCCAGTTCAACGCGCATTTGGCAAGCAGCACTCGGCCGCCTCAGAGAACGAGATCCAAGAGGTCGGTGCCTCCAAAGCCACTGCTGCACAGGGACCGCCGCACGCCCTCCGGGGCGTGAGGACAAAGGTCCCTGAGAACGGGAAAGGGCAGGAGGAAGTGTGGCTCAGAGGAGGTGGGATAGGAGCTAGTCATCGGGGACAGAGGACCTGTCATGATCGATGCCCGCTTTCCAGAAGTCTGTCTCTGCCTGTATCACAGGCAGGGGAATCGTCTCTTCCAGGAGCTGCGTTGACCACTGTTTCTGAAGTTCCAGGGAAACGTGCCAGCACCCGGGAGCACCTGGCCCTTTACGAGATACAGCAGTGAACTTCCAGAGGAAGGAAAAAGGACGCTCACGTGCATTTCCACAAGTTACCACGTATCTGAG